GGGGGGGGGGGGGGAATTTGAACTGTAAATTCAAAACATTTGGCTTCCATGAATATCAGGCATAATTATAAAATACTTTAAAGGTACATACATATACAGTCCAATTACCTTGCATGTACTATACTTTATCTCCCCTTCAAACAAAACTATAAGCAGAAAAAAGCATTGTTTCTAAAAATCGAGATTTTATCATACTATTACTGTTATGCTAGTATAATAATAAGTATATAAACTAGAGATAGTAAAAACAAGAACAGCAAACTAATTTTTTTATGCTCTTCACTCTTGAGTTTAAGATCTGAAAAGTGTGAAAGCTCTAGGGCCGGGGACACTGGCACTGCACCCCTTTCTCCCCCCTGAATACTTCTTGTTAACAAACTGTATCAAATAAAAGACTTCCTTTACCACCTTTCAGCTTTCACCTTTCTTAATTCATACCGTAAAGGTTGTACACTATAAATTGAGACTTTTTAAACAGATTATAAAGGAGCAATTCCACCAATATGAAACATCATCGATGATAAGCCACCCATGTGCGACCTGTGCCCTGGGAACAAATTAGTTGCAATGTTTTAAAGAATATGCATTTGTCAACCATTAACAATAGGTCTCCGTGTAAAGTCGTCTTTAGCTTAGGTCCCCTCTCGGAGAAACCAAACCAAACAATTTTAACCCCCTTTTCTTTGTTCTATCTGACGGAGTCATAAACAAAACCTCGCGTATTGTGAATCTATTTTCAAAAGTTAAACAAAGAATAATTTCATATACAGAATTAGTGACTTTCGTTAATAATCAATTGTCATCTTATTTCAGAAGTTTAAAACGTCTTTTAGTACTGTTCAACCATTGTTAACTCCTTTATCACCCGCAAATAGATCGTAAGGATTTTTTCATTATAAACATTCATTATAACATTTGTACACGTTATCAATATATGTATTTTTTTCAGGAAATAAAGAGAAATTTTTTGTTATCGATCTTTGAGACGGGGGTTCATTCTGTTGTGAGTTTACTGTTCAATCGGGAAATATTGTTGGGAAATATACCTCCTTCAACGACTGATTTCAGCGGGCTTATTATTCATCATCTTGAGAATTTCGGTTTCTATCCGTCAACAGCATTATAGAGAAGATTAAGGAAATGAGAGAGGAGCGGATCAAAATGCTTTTTGGTAGGTTCTACATCAAAAACTACCGCGCCAATTATAATTCATATTTTCCCCTGAAATTATTTTTATATATGCCTTTGGAGCAATTGTTTCTCATGAAAGTCCAAATCCAATCACACGGTGTAAATTTGAAACTGATGAGTAAGAGCGTTTTTTCCTAAAATCTCTATTTATAGTGGACACCTTTATGATATATTCACTAATTACATTGACTACATTTGTTCTGTAAAAAAAATGGATTTATTTGAATCATTGTAAATATGTTATATACTTATTTTTCTTACAATTTTATATATGTATATATGTTAATTTTACTATATCAAAAGAGAAAAAGTGGCTTACTTTTTAAAATTTAAATTTTAATAATTTTGATCTTGATCTCTAATTTTTTTTTATTTTTGCCCCCCCCCCCCC